TTGCTGGATAGCCAATGAGATCAATAAATACGACAGCTACAGATAAAATTCCAATTGATTTTCCTAATCGAATTAGAAATTCCTTTATCACATAAGTAGTACGCGAGAATGGCTCAGTTTTGTTCACTTTACTTCCTCCATGTCGGATTGCACGACGGATATAATTATGTAACAAAGACAACTTCATCCACTTCCAACACAATTTAAAATTATTTCTCACTTTACTTTCAGTTACTCAATAACTGAGTCAAATAATCACTTCCAACCTGGAATAAACGGGTAATCAACTCGACCCATTATGATTATAATTAATAATTACGTTCACGAAGTACATGACAGCTATAAGCAAGTGACTAATCACTTCAATGAACGACAACTGAAACAAGCCACTCTTCAATTTTAGGAATTTTCCATCTATTCCCCCACGAAATTTTCAAATAATATTGGAAACCCATTCCGCCATGCAAACAAATTATATAAATTCGGTTTGTTCGAAAGCAATCCCGGATAAAACGTGATCGAATTTTCTCTTTACTGGATATTTAAATTTTTTTTATGCTTCTATCCTTGAATTTTTTAAAATTATAATTTAAATAAAATTTGTTCTGAAGTAATCTTTCCTGCACAAATATCCAACTTTTCCATTAAATTAAAATTCCATACCTTTTCGCACAATTACAAACATAAATCCGACTCATTTCACTACAATTCAACCTTGACATCTCAACACCACTCACCTCCCCCTCCAATACCTCCGCCACCTCACAGTACTCTTTCATAGACATATGCCTTTCTTGCTACATCAATTTCTCTGCGTCTCTAGCTTCAGGTCGACGTACTATCCTGTCTGTCTGCATCTCAGATCCACATGTATGCCTCTGTCTGTCTATATCTTTAACCCCAGGTCCACAAGTACACTCCTCTCCCTTCACACCTGTCTGTAGCATGTCTCTCTACGTTTACATTTATGTTCACCCTCACATGTACAACTCAATGTTCACATTTCTTTACATCTATATTTATCCTCAAAATCCTCTACATTTCTACGCTTGTACATCTGTATAGCTTTAGCAGTTTTTCGATGAGCTTTGTGCTGCAAATAAAAAGGTCTCCTCCGAATGATCCTTGAGAGGGGCTGATAAATTTGAATTTAAATTACTTTTGAGCTTAATTTTCAGTTTATTCCAAATAATCTTAACTTGAATGAAATCAGAATGAAAACTGATAAAGTCTTGGGTCAAACAACATGTCAATGAGCAGATGTCTGAAGAACGAAAGAAGCTGTATGGATTGGAAGTATTCGCGTGAAAATGTCGAACAATACACCATCATCCGACAAAGTTCACCTTTCACCCCTTTAATTTTAGCACACCGGGTTATCCATTCTGTATTACCGTTTTTCTCGATTGTTACGATAGTATCGATCAATCGTGTAATGTATCCCTTTCCTTCTTCCCTATTCTATTCTATTCTATTTCCCTTCTTTGCATTTTAATTTCAATTTTCGCAGCAATTAACTCATCCGTTCCTTTTTGTCCTCTCTCGCTCTCTCTCTCTCTCTCTCTCACTCTTCCTGTTATTTTTGAGAACAGCAGAGATTTCTTTGCTAATTCTCTTCAAATAATTTTTCCCTCTCCCCAATCTTCCACTTTATTCCACGATTCTATTTGCTTCTCTCCGGATCATTTTCCTTACTTCAGTTTTATTCTACAAAAAAAAGAATAAAGAGGATACATATGGCGTACCCTATTTCATCGATCCATTTTTATAGCTCTCTTTCTGTGATGAGAACTTTTTTGTTTCTTTCAAAAAGAAACTGTCCATGATATCCTATTGTCTTCCTTAAATTTCATTTCAATATGCAATTTTCTTTTAATTAACTGATAATATTCGGAAAGAAATGTAACATTTCCATTTTTATTTTCGAAAAAAGAAAAATTGGAATTAATAACTTCAAATGGTTCTTTTACTCACACATTTTTTCAATTCATTTCAATGATGAGTCATAATCCCGACACCATGGCTTGTACATCATCAATTTCAACCAAACCTTCTCGGTCATTCGGCGTTAAATATTGTCACATCATCACATCATAAGTGCAAATACTGTCATTTCGTATTCTATTTCTAACAAATTTATAATGGAGTTAAATTTGATCCAAAGTTTAATTTTCAATTATTTTCATTTCAAGGCTTGTTTGGAAAATTTTCCAAACATTTTATATTTATATTTACTTCACATTTCTTTCACTACCTGATGATGAACTACCTTGAATATCGCTGACAGCACATATCTTCTGATTAATAGAAAATTCTATTGTCACACCATTAATATTGGGGTGGAAAGTAGGCATATGCCATTAATTTTAAGATGAAAAATAAAGACATATGATGAATATTTTCGGGAAATGAAACAAAGGTATCAATTTCTCAAATACTATTCCTTCATTGCTGTTAGAAGAAAACGTTGACATTAGCATTCCACGCTTTCTACAATTTTGTGCTCTCGAGCGCATTTCAATAGTGAAAGGAAAAATTCACTCTTCACCACCACTTCAATCATAAATTTATAAAATGATGTTTTATTTTGCATTATTTGTTTTGCTTCCGAAATTATTTCCTTGCTTTTTCAGATCATTTATTTCCATCTATTTTGTATGCAAATATTTAAGTATATTTATAAATGAACTTTAATTGGAATTATTCCGCAACGGCGTTGCATTTTTTTCTGTTTTTTTTGTTTTACAAAAGAAAATTTCATTTATACCAAGTTTGAATTTTTTTAAAGAAAATACAGTTTTTCGAATTTAAATTTAAAATAAAACAAGCGAATTTTCAACGCTGAAATCATGCAATAAATTTTCACGTCAACTTTTCTTCATTATTTTTTCTTCCCATTTCATTTTATTAATGCAAATTTATCAATCATTGGATTGAATGAAATAGTTTGACTCACTACTGATGATTGTCGAATTGTTTTAAAAACATTATGAGTTAATTCTCAAAGTCAAAAAAATTTAGAGAAGTTGAACAAATGGGAAGCTGATATGAGATTACATTTATTTAGTTTTAATCACCCTAAAATAAAAGCGACACTACGTGACACTTTTTTTCTCAGTCCTTAGCAATGACCTGGATGCGCACGCAAGAGGTCAAGCAAGTTCAGGATGGTTATGTAAATGAGGAAGTGATCAAATAATTTTGAGATAAATCGGGAGATGGTCAAGTAAGCAATTCCGAGGTAGATAAATAGATGTAACAGTGACTTGCATAATATTCAGAAACTTTTTCTTGTCATATTGATTGATTGTTGAAGTGTCACGTTAAGAATAAACGAGACCTTCTTTTTTTATCCTGTTTATATTATTTTGTTTCGTAATTTGAAGTTGCAACATTTTAAATAGAAAATTTCATCCTCGGTAATTGATGAATTAAGCATTTAAACTATTGAAGTGAATAGTCGAATGATAAGACAATTTAGGATAAGCAAATAATTAATTTGTACAGACTTACTCAATATTTTATTCTCGTGGTACATATTTTACATTACACAAACTTTCATTTCATTAAAATCGAAATATATTTCTTATAAATGTTCACGTTTGTTTGAAATTTATGCTCAAATAAGTGCCATTTATTTTGCAGGTTTGGCTGTGGTCGTGCGTAATATCAAACGATTATAATATTACGCAAATTATGGGGGATGATATAGAAGAAGAATGCGTTGCTGTAAGCTTGTTTCTTTCATTACACTATTTCAAATCTTCAAATTTTTAAATTAATTTTGAGTGGTTTGGAAAAAGGAATGTTTTTTGCGAAACTATCTGAAAATTTTTGATATGAAAGCAAAAAGTGTTTTGATTAGATTTTGGAAATTTTTTGCACGTTTTTTCTTTTTTAAATATAAATTTGGACAATTTATCTTAATGGGAAGTCTTTGCATACCAAATTTCATTTCAGGTTAAGTTACACGAAGATGAATTTAGTGGTTTAATAAAAAATGTAGCAGGTGGCATTCTTCGTGATAAAGTTGGTGGCACTGCAGGTGACATTCTTGGTAACCTAGTAGACAGTTTTGGCGGCCACGAAGGTATTTTTCTTTCAAAGCTGCTCTTTTAATCTTTAATGCTGACGATCGTAAAGCGGGATTATATATTGGCATGAAATATTGCTGTAAATGATATCACCGGAAGATCAGCTTTGGGTACCACTGAATAGTTACTAGCTTTGATATACTTGCACCAATCACCGCTATGTTTAAATATAAAAGAAGATTTGATAATTGACATTGCTTTGCATGTTTTGCTTCCATTCGAGTTCGGTAAATTTTAATTTGTTTAAATATCAAAAAATATATGTTTGTAAATAGGAGGTAAGATGTAAAAGCATTTATCTTCAATATATGATTTTTAGCCAGAAGTGGGTCTGGAGGCGGAGGATATAACCAACCAGGTTACGGAAGCGGTGGATACAATCAGGGAAGTGGATATGGAGGTCATTACGGAAGTGATGAATATCAGGGAAGATATGGTACAGCAGAATTTGGTGGCGGTTATGGAGGTGGTGCAGGTTTTGGTTATGGTGGAGGAGGATATGATAATCGTAACAGATATGAAAACAGAGAGCACAGTAGTAACAGTGGTGCGTTTGGACTAGTTGGAAATCTAATCGGTAATTAATTATTCCGCTGTTGAGCCTTCAAAATTTAGAAATGATTTCGTTCATTTCAATTTAAATCTCATTCTACGTTATATTTATGTTTTCTTAAGTTTTTGCTTTCAATTTTAATCTTCCATATTTCTTCTCCTATTACTTCGCGAAAAATAGTCACTCAATTTTTATAACGCATAGTAGCTAATTGTCACAAAATTTAAGGTGGAATATTGGACGGTGGACGAAATCGTAGCGATGCTACTGCTAGCGGTAGAGATTATCGAAATCATGGCAATGATTACGATGGTTACAATCGAAAAAAGCCAGAAAAAATGCGTAAGCTTATTTTCGCTATCTTTTCTCTTGAAGAAAAATCCAACGAAAATGTTGAAAATCCAAAAAAAGAAAAAACCAAAAGGAAATCTGTCAATTTCCCAGCCGACACTTTGGTTTAGCATGAACGCTAACAAACAAACTCATTTAAACGAGTAACAATCCTTGAACTTTGTACTTTCCAATCGATCAGACGAAATGCATCATTCGTTCTAGAAGAATTTTGAGGATATATACTTATTTCTTTCTTGTCTTCCAGATTCTTCGTGAAAATGAGGGAAATTAGTTCATATTGATTGCTTATTCATATTGATAAGGGAATTATTTTGCAGTAGGCTTCTCGTTATAGTATTAATTATGTTATATTTTAAAGTTCATTGTTTTTTTTTGATTACTTACTAATTTCGTAATGTTTTCCAATATATAGATGAACGTTCAGCTTTATGAGTCTAAATTATTAATAACAGCTCATGTGTATAATAATAATGGACAGTTTTTTTGCAATTCTTGATATCTCATCTATTGGAAATGAATCTGTTTTTGGTCTTTTTATTTGTGTATTCATCAATATTTATGTTCAGTTTTATATCATTATTGCTCAGTTTCATCTAACGTCATTAATTTTTTAAGTGTGTATTATTAAAAACGATAGAAGTGTTTCTGCCATCATTATCCCTTACTTTCAGGCAGTCATAACTAACAATGTTTTTCTTTTTCGAAAAATGAAAGTAACCATAAGAGACAGGGAGCATTTCTTATTTCTCTTTTGTTTAATTTTTTAAAAATTAATTTTGTTTATTTGCATATCTTTGCCATAAAACAGTCGTTAATACTTTTTTGCATTTTCTCTCCAATAGTTTTGTTTATATTTTCCTTTCTTTTTTCAGAACATATAAAAGAACAATTGTTTGAATTAAAACAATTTAATCAGAAATATCTACTAAACATTTTATTTGTTAAACTTAACCGTTGTTTTGTTATCAGTATTTTGATTTCTCCCACTAATTGTCATCTTTTTCTGAAAGCTTTTTTTATTTTCTGAAAATTTTATTCTTTTTTCTCCGAAAATATGTTTAGAAAAAATTATAATATAATGAGCATGAATACATGAATACAAAATTCATGTACGACATATTTCTTGGAATGTACATTCTTGGAATCTTCTTTCTAATTTCCATTTCTTATGGCATTACAACACTTCTAACCGTTCATTTTTCCATACTGTTCTTGAATTTCATCAAAATAACGGATGATCTCAACGAATGATTTGAAAGTCCTAGCAGGAAGAGGAATCTATGAGAACAGGACCGGTTTGTATGTAGATTTGTCAGAAAATAATTTCGATAAATTTACTTAAAAAACAACCAACTGGGATTTGTTGTTTATAGTATGGAAAATACACCGTTATTTCTATAATTACCTCAGCGATAAGTAAGAGGTCATTCTGATGAAAAAATTGCTATCGGATAGCCTGAATGGTATGCTTAAATCCAGGCAAAACCTGAAATTGTTCAAATCCTATAAATATTTTAATATTTATATCGGAAATTCTGACATATATTTTATTTGAATTTATCGATTAGTTTCTTACCGCCAATTTTATAACTTAAAAAGGGAAAATGGAATGTTGAATTGCTTTTCCTTGTTATTAATAGCATGCAGTTCTAATTGTTCAGAACAATTCTTTTACTTGTTGGTTTATTTTTACTCATATTCACTTTTTTCTTCATTAAAAAGAAAGCAAGATTCATTGGTAAACGTTCTAAAAAGTTTTAGGAATTATTTAAGTAAAAATATTTCATTTATCAAAGAAGCAATCAGTCTTTCACCTTACATTATCCAAAATTGCTATTCGGTTAATTATGTTTTTGTTACTGATCTTTCCCAATCAATAAACTGTCGATGATTCATTCCACTCATCAAGGTACTATCCCGATATGTCATCTCAGAATATCTGAGATGTTTCACATCTATCATATGATTCGAAGAAGAGCTGAACAGAATGTTTCTGCCTTTTTTCCGTACTTTTTTATTGCTATCAAAATATATATTTTTTGATCATTCATATATGTCGGCAATTTTTATTTTAATTGTTTAATTGATTTTGAAGAGATGTTATTAGAGTTTAAGAGTGCTTCGGAAAAGATTAGAAGATCGATCTAAGCTTTTGCAAAAATAAATCTATATTCCTAGCCTTTTTTCTTCTTTTTTCTCTCGAAGTACTGAACAGCCATTTTTCAAGTTTTCAAGTTGAAACAGCCATTTTTCAAGTCAGCATATTTCAAGTTGAAACTAAGCTATTCCGATTTTTTTCTGTTCCAAAAAGATGCTAAAGGATGGGCTTACTATTCCTTGTAATTATGTGTCTTAAAGGTCAATGATAACTTTAATTTCTTGCCATTACGGAATGACAATCTTAGTTTTTTTCTTGTTACTGCATCCATTGAATGAATTTCATTATTTCAAATTAAATATTTTTTATTGTTTAGATATTTCGCTTGCAGTATTGTGTCTTTCATCAATATTTTCACATATTATAAATGGTGCAATTCAAGTTTAGGTTTGGGGAAAATTCTCAGTATTTTTGCTTTTCATTATTAAAATTGTTCCGCGGTGCTTAGTAAAATTCAATCGAAAGTATACTAAAATGTTGTATGGATTCGGAACGTGATCGTTTCGATGAACATAATGTAAAATGTTACAAGTTCAAAGGTAATTGGAAATCTTTGCCAGATTAGAATTCTTCTAATTTGAGTCTTTCAGTTCAATTCAAAATTTCAACAAAATTACACATATGGTGAAGATTTTTTCTTCGCAAATGCTATTGAATTTTTTAAAATATTTTTTCATTTTCAGGTGATCAAATTGGTGATATCGTCGGGGGTTTCATCTCAAGTAGACGCGATGGTAGCAGTGATTCTCATGGTAATTTCTTTAATGATTAATAAGTTTTCTTTGTCTATTTTGCTAAAATTTTTTATACAGAAACTTTTTGTCACTTCTTTTAGCTTAAACTGTTTCAGGTGGCAAGGGTAGTATCACTGTTGGTGACATTGCTGGTGTTATTGGTAGCCTAGCTGGACCAGGCAGTAAAAGTCAGAAGCTGATCAGTGGTATTGGTGGACTAATTGGCAAAAAAGAAGGATATTATAGAGATGGAGGCATTTTTTATTATGCTATTTGTTTTTTTGAACAATTAAGTCATTTTATTTGATTTTTCTCAAATTAATCTGGTGGGACAATTTTGAATTTCACTGGAAACTTGAAATATATATCACTTTCTTGTAAAAAATAATTGTAACATTGATTTGGGTGCTTTGAAAGTTTTGAAATTTTTTTAACTTTGTTTTTTGGTTTTTACTTTTTGAAGACAGCAGCATGGATATTAAGTTTTAAGCAGTATGGTTCTGTGTTATTGAATTTTTATTTGATCTTTTTGATTTCAGGTCCAAATATAAATCCAAGTAATTTAAGAGGCGGTATGACAGATGTCGTAAGTGGTCTTGTTGGGCATCTGGCTCAGCGTTACCTTAATATTGATCCGACTACGGGACGCATTATCGGTGCCATTGCTGGAAATCTTATCTTCAATCTTGGTGAAGTTTATTTTGATAAATATTTAGTTAAATACCTGGTTAAAGTTTATTTTGATAAATCTTTCAATTTTTTTATTATTCATAAGCATAAAAATGCAAATTTTTCTCAGGTGGCAAAGATAACAAGCTTGGAACTGTGGGAAAAATCGTTTTAGACAATATTATCAGTGGCAAATTCAAACGAAAGGTATAGTTTATTCTACAAAGACTGTAAAATCTTGAAAGCATATAGATTCTCACAGATAAATCTGAGTGCAAAGAAAAACAGATGCATCTTTTGTATTGCCCTATCAATTCACACTATCAGATCAATCTGTTTTTAACATTAGGGAATCAACTACTGTTTTTATATCAATTAAAATCCAAGGGTGAATGGAGACACAAGACTCGAAAGCTTCACTAATCTTTTTTTCCATTTTGTATCCGCAGGTTGATCCCTATATACCGCGAGAACCGACACGACGTCTGTATCCGCCAGTACCTGGTAGAAAAGCAGATGAAGCACTTGATTTCTACGTAGAAAGAGATCGTTGTCTTACTGTAAGCTATTATTTTTTTTAGATCAAATTTTTTTATCTGAAAAATTTGGGATTTAAGAGTAAGATAAAAGAAAAGAAGGGTTTGTATGTTTGTAAAAATCAGTTAAAAAGGTTTTCAGGAACGAAAACTTTTTGAGGATCCTCAATTTCCGGCTGACGACAAAAGTTTGTTCTTCAGCCGACGTCCACCGAAACAAATCGAGTGGAGACGGCCGGGAGTTTGTTTTATGAATTCTTTTTTTATTTCTGTCATTTTGACTTTTTTTTATTTCTTCAAAATGTTTCATCATTTTTAAGGAAATATGTGACAATCCACAGTTGCTCTATGAAGGACAATCACGTTTTGACGTAGTACAAGGGGAATTAGGCGATTGTTGGCTTTTAGCTGCTGCCGCGAATCTCACATTGAAAGAAGAACTGTTTTATCGAGTTGTACCACCGGATCAAAGTTTTACCGAAAATTATGCTGGTTTGTTCGTTATTCCACGCTTTAAGTTCGATTCTCAGTTTTCACATTTTCAACGCAATTTTTTGTTTTTATTTCATGTTTTCTTTAGTTGTATTTTACCAAAATTTTTGAAAATTGAAGGCATATTTCATTTCCAATTTTGGCACTATGGTGCATGGGTTGACGTAGTCATCGATGATCGTCTGCCAACATCTACCAGTGGCGAATTGTTGTACATGCATTCCAGAGATAACAACGAATTTTGGAGTGCACTTCTGGAAAAAGCATATGCAAAGTGAAAATTTCTTTTGGTCCTTAAGTTTGTTAACATATATTCAAGATTATTTTTCAGTGACGACTAATATCTAGTTCGGATGATTTTGAATTGATTGATAGTATCTGGAATTTAACTCCAAAATTTAGAGTTCTCTGCAAATTGTTAAAAAAAGTGCAATCTTTATAAATTAACATTATTTTGTTCCAAATTTTGACAACTTTTTAAAAATTTTTAATTTAAGGCTTCACGGTTCATACGAAGCATTGAAGGGTGGTACCACAAGTGAAGCTTTAGAAGATTTCACTGGAGGTTTGACAGAATTTTTCGATCTCACACAACCTCCTAAGCATTTGATGGAAATGATGATGAGAGGTTTTGAAATGGGTTCATTATTTGGATGCAGTATAGAAGTAAGCTGTTTCCTTTAAATCACATTTTTGACAACATTTCAAAGTTTTTCTTCTAGTTCTTAGATCCTTGATTTAAAATCCGTTTTGGTAACGAAGTTATTGCTGATAAATGTTTAACGATGTTAATCATAAAGTTGCGTGCAACAATTATGAAAATTTTGTTATATGTCGAAAAAAGCCTAATCAATTTTGTACAATTTCAGGCGGATCCACATGAATGGGAAGCGCGAATGCACAATGGTTTAGTCAAAGGCCATGCATATAGTATAACGGGAATGAAAATGGTAAAACATTTCACACATAGTTAACATTCGTATTTTCCTATCCGTAGCATAGCTATGGATAGGAAAATATAGACATCTGTCTCGAAATACTTTATTTTAAGGTGAATGGACCACGTGGTAATGTGCCATTACTACGCATACGTAATCCATGGGGTAACGAACAAGAATGGAATGGTGCGTGGTCGGATAATTCAAAAGAATGGAGGTATATTTCTCAGCAGCAACGTGATGAGATGGATTTAGTTTTCGCGCACGATGGAGAATTTTGGTTTGTTTTAATGTTGTTTTATCGCTTTATAGTAATAATCAAATTCAAAAGCTGTATTGGATCCTTGATTTTGTCTAAATGTTTCAGTCTGAAGTCAATCCAAGAGCATTCATAATTTAAAACGAAACAGAGATAGAAACTATAATTAAATTTCATACATAGCAAAATGTCAATACTGTATTTATTTCGTTTCACCAAGGATTGTAAAAACGCTAACGTGACCTATTGTTGGTAACCAGTAATAAATAGTATGTTAGATATGATTACTAATGTGAGCTTTTTTAATCAAACTTTCAGTATCTCTGTGAAAAATCGAATCTCGTCTTCGTTGCCACAAATTTAATATAAGGTTGCAGTTTTTCAGTTATTCACATTCAATATGGGGAAATTGATATTCTCCACAAAAATTATGTGTTGTTCCTAATTGCTTAGACATTTGAAGTGATGATAAATTCGATTTCTAGGATGTCATTTAATGATTTCGTACGTTATTTCGAGAAAATGGAAATATGTAACTTGGGTCCAGAAGTTATGAATGAAGTACGTTTTTTCCCTTTTTCTTTCCGCTAATGACTTTATTTTTGGATTTTTATTTTCAGTTATTACAAATGTTTATAGGTTTATCAAATGACTGGTGTTAAATCGTCGCAGAATGCTTGGGCAACATATACCCATAATGGTGCCTGGATTGCAAATAAAACAGCTGGAGGTTGCAGGAATTATATCCGTATGCATATTTGCATTTCGTTTTCATATTTCTTTTTTTATTAAAATTTTCTAACCTTTGTTGATTTATTACAGTAGCATAAATCTGATAAGAATAATTATCAATCGTTCCTTTAAAACATTTTACGCAAGCATATTTTACTGAAAGGTAACGGATTAGTTATTCTATATAGTATGTATTTTCAAAAATGTTTAATACTTTTTCATGATTTCTATTCTGTACTCATTTTTTAGAGACATTTGCGATGAATCCTCAATATCGTATCCAGGTGACAGATTCGGATCCATATGATGATGATAATTTATGTACAGTAATAATTGCCGTCCTGCAAAAGTATCGACGTGAATTGAAACATATGGGTATCGAGAATTTACCTATAGGATTTGCCGTTTATGATGTAAAACCATTTTATTTTTTCCTTTCCTACTGAAGTAATAATTTGAATTAATATAAAGGACTTAACTGTCAATAGCTTTGTCAGAAGTAAGCAGATGGAATAATCTGATAGCTGGCATTTTCAAATTCTATGAAAATTTTTATGTAAAATTAAAATACTTGCTAGCAACAAATTAATTGTAGTAAAGAAAACTTATTTGTTTTACGTAGAATTTTCAAAATTCCGAAAACTTTCTGTTTCTTCCAAAATTTTTGTCTTTTTTCTAATACTTTTGTCCAGATTTATGAAATTAAAAATGAAACGAAAAGATATAGTATTTACTGGATTTCATGATTACTAAGTTTATCCTATGTTATAAAAATGACTTGTTAGCTGCTTCAATTAAATTCCAAAAGCTGGATGTAGTTTTTAGTCTCGAAAGATCCACTTACAAATGAACGTTTGTGCTCGGCTTTAATAATTTCTTCACTAACAATAAACAATAAATTTGCAAAAAATATTAACGCAAATTCGAAATTTGTTTTATTTGCTATTTGTTCTTTATTATTTATTTACAAGAAATAATTTTGGTTACATTAATTAGAATTGACAATCTTTTCAGATTGGAAACTTCACTGCACGCTTAACACGCGAATATTTCCGGCAACATCAATCATGTGCTAGAAGTGCTGCATTCATTAACTTGCGAGAAGTGATTATTTTTGAATTATTTCGATTTAATCATTTAAACTCATTTAAATAATGCTCTTCCAAAACTTAATTTATATTCCCAAACCTTTTGGCTTTCATCTTCGCACATTCAATCTGTCTCTCTTGATTTAAACTTTTAATTGCTTTTAAAGTGTGTAATATGTCCTTATTGTTGCAGGTGACAGGCCGTTTTCGAATCCCGCCGGGAAATTACGTAATCGTTCCATCAACATTTGAACCAAATGAAGAAGCGGAATTTATGCTTAGAGTTTATACAAATGGTTTTATTGAATCAGAGTAGGTGTCTAGCTTTTGATGAACACTTTCAAATTTTCAAATAGTTAGCAGATTTCTTTATGATTATTGTTCGATTTCTCTCTTGACTTTACGAATTATTAATCTTTTTTCCTATGACAAATCAAGATCGAGTAGAGATAATTCATCAGATCTGGCTCATAATCGGAGATAAATCCTAAATATTTTATTCGGAAATTCTGAAAGACCGGAGTTAAAAAATTTTCAATTCAAATCTTTTTTAGAGAGTTATGAAATTCGATCGAAGCGCACAGTTAAAAGGTTTTTTACTGACGTTTACTAGCGGAAAATTATCCAGTCATAATTATTCGATTGATTTATTCGATTATTCGATTGAAAGATGCATTTATTGATCATTGATTATTTTCAATCCTTTTTTTAATTCACATTAACTTATTGTTTGTTTTATGATAGCGTTAATTGTAACTATTTACATGATAATGATAAATTTTCGATGAAATCTTTTGCAATCATGCCAGAAATTTCTGCGAAAAAATAATTGGTATTTGTTCCAGAAAACTAATATTCTCTTTCTGTTTTTGTATATTTATTTCTCAACAAATTTATGTTGTAAAACTTTTCCAATCTTTATGGATTTGTTCTTATGTACACTAATATACAGCAACCTAGTGTTTTTAATATATCCGGCTAATTTAGAAACTCTTGGTCTCCCTGTTCCAATATTTCCAGTTATAGATTATTCTTGATTACAAATTTAGTCTCGCATTCAGTTTTTTAATGCAATATTAGTAATCCCAATCTCGCTGAACATAATATCATCTCTTATTATTTTCTGTATATCCTGTATTTTACAGAGGTTACTCTTTGACTTCTGGATTCGCTGAAAATTTTGTGGAGGAGAGGATGGGAGATTGTCAAAAAGTTGAAGTGGGAGATTAGTGAATTTGAGGTTTACTTCAATGACCGTTCTTTGAAATAATTAATTACTTGTGGCTGCTCAGCAATTCATATGCTTTGCATTGTAACTGGAGTTGATTACCCGTTTATTCCAGGTTGGAAGTGATTATTTGACTCAGTTATTGAGTAACTGAAAGTAAAGTGAGAAATAATTTTAAATTGTGTTGGAAGTGGATGAAGTTGTCTTTGTTACATAATTATATCCGTCGTGCAATCCGACATGGAGGAAGTAAAGTGAACAAAACTGAGCCATTCTCGCGTACTACTTATGTGATAAAGGAATTTCTAATTCGATTAGGAAAATCAATTGGAATTTTATCTGTAGCTGTCGTATTTATTGATCTCATTGGCTATCCAGCAA